TGGTCTTAGGTCCTGTTTCATATCTACGTACACATAGCCACTCCTCACTTAGATGTCACTTTTAGGATAAGATGAATTGTGCTCTAGAGGCTCTTCTCTCTGCACTCTCTCTTGAGGAGACATAGACTATCTTAGACTTGGATGTCTAAATTTTGGCTAGAAGGCAGGTGTCTCCTGTCCAGTCATCTCAACTTGTAGAGGATTAAGGATTAGTAGATGGCTTTAGGTCATTCAGTCTGCAGAAGAAAACCAAATCCCAGACCCCATCCTTGCTCTAGGAACCAAATCCCGTCATCCTGCGTTTGTCCTCACTGATGGGAGGGTTACGGTTCCCCCATAGACTCTCGGGTTTGCTGGAAGCTCGGAAAAGGTCCTGCAGGCATTTTACTGAATCAGCTTAAAGCCTCCCAAAATGCAAATGAAAGGTTGGAAATCCCTGGGTAAGGTTCCACCGGGCTTCAAGAGAAGAAATAGCCTCAATGTATGAGACCTTACCTTTTTTCTACTTTTCTTCCGGGCTGCAAGATTTGTCCCACGAGAAGCAGGGGGATATCACTAAGCTTTGTTATCCTATGTTGTGGTAAGCCAATTTTGCCGGAAATACAACCAAGCTGCTGTTCGGTGGCAAAGGTTTGTGTGTTTGGGTGCGTAGCAGGATTAGCACTTTGAATTACTCTCACACCTTTCCTTCAGGCCTCATGAAGACCTGGGATGGTTAATGGCTCACCTGGGAGAATTGTCTGGCCAAAGCTATTCTCCATCTGGACAATTTGTCGCTGTTAGAGGTTAAGTAGAGGTTAAGAGGAGTCCCTCTGCAAGTGCCCAGCAAATACAGCAGCTAAGAGGCATCTCCCTGCCATTGCGTGGCTTTGCCCGCTGTGGCTCAGAATCTCAATTTCATTTTTTTGCTTGGAGACTCAGCCTTTACCACCCAGCAGGGCACAGTGAATTGGGCACGGGTCTGGGGCAGCAAATATAATTTACAATACCAGGGGGAGAAGTATGTCGGTGTTTCGCGGGTCTGGGTTTGTAGCTCTGTCATTGAGGAATGGTGGGTCTGATCCCAGCTCCTCCAGTTTTAATTAACAGGGTAGTCAAATGGTGCCGTTAGCTGACAGCGTGAGTGATTATCACCTTCAGAAGTTCTGCTGTTGGTGGTACGTGCATTTGTTACATGCCAACAAATGCACGGCTCTCTCAGAGGGGCATTATGGAGGATTAGTTCGTATCTGAGAGACGCTACATGTAATTACTTATGCACTGCTTTGCAAACCGTTCCTTTCTGCTAGCACTTCTGCTGTTATTTCTCTTGCTGGCATCTGGCTTGCTTTGTGCATCTTCGATTTCCATAAGGAGGTGAACAGAAAGTGCTGAGGGCTACTGTGCTTGCCTAGCCCTGTCCACCGACAGACGGGAGATGCAAGCAGAAGGGTTCTTAGGATCTGGGTCAAGACACTGTGTGCAAGCCAGGGACAACACTCAGTGTCTCATGGTGCTGTTCCTCCTGGAAATTTTGTGCCAGTCCCAAAGACTGAAAAAAACCCCATACCCTGTAGGAGTTTTTAAGAAGTTTAGGCGTTCAAAAGACTGCGTAAATGGCAGGTCACCTGTTCTGGGGCTGATCCTCAGTGGAGAGGCATTTCTAACAGCTCACTTGAGAAGTCTCATCCTTCAGCTCTGAGCTGCCTTTCTGCCTAGTTTAAGAGCCCAGAGTTTTGCTGTGACGCCTGTAAGTGCTCTGGAAATGTAGGAATTAATGCGCTGGACTGAGCCAAGGGCCTGTCTAAGCAAAGGTCTCAAGGGAGATGGAAGCCAGTGCCAGATGTTTTGAAAAAAGCCTCTGCTAAGGATGTCTCTGACACCTCATTTCTTCCTCATTCCCACCACTTTAGTAGGTGATCTCATAGCAGTTCATGCTGGGTTTGCTGTCTGTAAGCAGTTCCTCCATGCATGCAGATTATGAGGCCTGGCTTTTGAAAAGGGGTTTCTTCAAATACCCAGGATCTTAATCTCTGCTCTCAGAAGTGGAAGATGTCAAATTCATGTCCTGCAGTCAGTGAAAGATAGTTTCTTAGAGCAGAGATTATTTTCTTGCCTATAAGACATTTTCAGAGGGACAAAGAAACACCTTGCATTGTACGGGAAGTCAACAACCTTTGAAAAAATTCTGTGAGCCGATAACCTGCAAAAGCATAGTTAAGATAACTGACTTTTTTCCTTCTCTACAATGTTGAGACTTTTTTTTCCTTCTTCTCTTTAAGAAAGGCAAACCAAACCAAGCCGAAAGAAAGTTTTCATTAGTATGCATTTCAGTTTCGCGCCAAAAGTTACTCTGAATCTAAAACCCAACAATTTTTTACCAAAAATGTTTTGGAGGAGGAGAACTATTAGTCAAAATTGACATTTCCCTGTGAGTTGCTCTGATTTCGGCTAATGGACCTGTCCTTTTCTTCCTGCCTTGCTGGTGGAAGAGAGCAGCAGCCACCTGCCTAACTCTTGCTCCAGCTCAGCAGCCGTGTGACCTGCCGTGACGGCCGCCCTCTTCTCTTCCAGGTGCTCCTTTTCAAAGGTCTCAGCATCCCCATGCTACCTCCTGCCGGCACTTCCACCTGGGTCCCCAAGCTCCGCTCTCAGCCGACTTCGCCCTGCCTCCTGCGGTGCAGCCTCAGCCGGGGCTGACACCCCACATGGCCCCCGCACACCAGCACAGCGGCCCCCTGCACCAGCCCTTGGCACCGGTGCCAGCCCTGCCCTTCCAGGACGTGGCGGGACCCTCCTTCCTACCTCAGGCGCTACACCAGCAATACCTCCTCCAGCAGCAGCTCCTTGAGGCCCAGCACCGCCGGCTCATGCCCCATCCGAGGTAAGGGCGTTTCGGGCTCAGATAGCTGGAAAACTGGTTTTCTGGGGGATGCCCAACAGGCTGCCAGGAAGCTCTTGCAGTCCTCGCTGCCGTGAAGCATCTTTGGCCAAGGGCGCAACGCCGGTACAGTGCTTGCTGAGTGTGCTGGAGCTTTTGCAAGTTGGGCTGCAGACCCCCAAAGGACTTTTGCCAACAGCTGCGCTCCAGCTTTTACCTCTGGCTAGGCCCTTCCCACGGGGATCCAACATCTAGTTTGTCCCACGGTCAACTATTATTGTCCCACAGGAGAATCACGACCACAATGCCTTGGTTTTGCAGTGAACCAACCCTGGATCAAAGAGGAAGCAGTAGACTGCGTGCAAGAGCTACACTTTTGTAGCTGTTGTTTCAAAACCACATGAGAGATTTTATCCACATGTTCCTTAAGTGTTTGGTTTTGTACACAAAGAGCTCGCTGCTCTGCTCTAGGCTTCCTGGCTGTGCTCTGGCTGCATGAAGAGAGAAGGATGCTGTTGATCTGAAGCATGTTCAGTCAAAAAAGCGGCCTAAATTCACACTGGGCTGATGACTGCAAAGAGAATTACTGCTTCTCTGCAGAGGTGGAAATGGATGTCTGGCCTTATTCTGAGTCTGTTTCTTGAGCGAGAGATTTAGATAATATGTAGGACAGGAAGACGTTTTTGGAAACATATGGAAGCAGTTCATGGGTTGCGCCCGTGGATCAAGGGCCGGTGAATGAGCCTCTGTGGTAATGCTGCGTTTGGGAAGACGGCTGCAGAAGGAAAAGTCTTTCCTCCCCCACACTTTCTGTCTGCAAATTGTGCATTCTTCTCGTCCTTGTTTTGTTCTACATAAGCTGGATTTTAGGTGGATTTAATGATTAGTTAATAATTGGGTAGCGAACATATGCGAGGCTGAGGCACTGATGAAACAAGTGTTTACCTCTTAGTCATAAGCCAAATTCATATAAAACCATGGAGTACAATTCCACGCGGAAACGGCTTCCATAAACGCTGTCAGCATTATATCTGCAAGCAGGTTTTCTGAGAAAAGTGATCCTGGTGTAGAAAAGGTCTTACTCACTCCCAAGGCCCATTTCTGCAAGCAGCCAGCACCAGCTGCATCGGAGGGAGATGTCCAAAACCTTACAAGAGTGGGGGACACAGTCCTGGCAATGGGGGGGTTGTCCCTCAAGAGAGGAGCCTTTGTGCTGCAGCTGCCTGAGAAATATTGTATCTAGCAGTTTGCTGCTCCATTTGCTCCAGCGTTTTCCTGGAGATTTACTTTGTGATGGCTCCCTCCCCATCAGTAAGCAGGGACTCGGTAGGGAGCTCGGGGTATGAGTCTGTAATGCAAATCCTGCCTGCGCATCCAGCTTGCAGCTCTCTAAATATAGACGTTTTGGTATCTGATGCTGATCAAGTAGCACACATTCTTCCTCTGAGTGAAGGTAGTCCAAAAGGACAAAAGTCATGAGGCGGGCCTGGAGCCCTTAGAAAAACCTCGCAATATTTTCTACCGCTTTCTGTTCCCTGCCTGCAGGACAGCAGAGGCAGGGGAGAAGGTGCTGGACCCCAGCCTTGCCTGTCCATCACACAGAAAAAGGTTGGATGGAGAAAGGAGCACACCTGCGCGGTGTTTTCCGTGCCTCTAACACTAGCTCATCTCCTCCTCCTGCAGGCGGGCTCAAGAGCGTATGTCTGTCCAGCCTCACCGCTTGCACCCCAGCTTCGACTTCAGCCACCAACTGCAAACTCCACAGCCCATGGGGCCCCAGCCCAGGTACTTAGCCGAAGGCACGGACTGGTAAGTCTTCTACCTTTCCCTAGTCTTTTGAATGAGGTTTTAAAAAAAACCCTAAGCGGGCGGTTGGGGTTAGCCAGCCATCTTGCCTCAGTGCTTTCATGAAAAGCTAATGCTTGTACTCATTAACTATAGCACCGGTAGCGTGCAAAGAGGGAAAACTCATGACTGGGAGGGCCACGAGCACATACTGAAGTCCTACGCAGACCGAGCAAGTGCATAGCTTCGGCGTAGTCGTTTTCTGCAAATGTTTTGCTAGACGTGTGTGATAACATCGAGGCATCGGCAT